ACTTATAGATTTATAAAACCTATATCTTAAAATTCTAAACCCTAAAAAATGTTTTGACACCTAAAACCTACTAAACACTCATAACTAAACCCTAATAGAACATAATTAACTCAAACATAAATAATATAAAGAAAAAATAAGTTTGAAAAAGTAGTATTTTTTAAAGATTTCAAAAGTATGGTATTTTTAAAAAGTGTCATTTGAAAAATGATATTTTTTGGAATTTTTCTTTTTATATCCTTTATTAAAAAAAAAAATTCCCACAGCCACGAGGTGCATGCAGCACCAACTTCGTATATAAAAACAATTTTAACATTCATCATTAGGTGTAAAGACTTCGTATAAAGTATACTAAGAAACAAAAGACATTTCATCTCTAGTCATTCGTGGTGATAAGTCTTGGGTCACTGAAAAAACCATAATTATTAAACAAGGTATGGAAAGTCGGGGGTCTTAATAATTGGACCTACAATAATCATTATACTTTAGTTTTTAATATAATTTTTTAGGGACCACAACAGTGACCATAAATGCACTAAGCCAATGGAAAACAAATAAAAAACAACAAAATGCATTAAAGCCAAAGGAATAATTAGGATTTTGGTACTATTTTATTTTATGATATTATCTGGAAATTTAAAACTCAAGTACAAAAAAATGAATTTTTGTAAACTTAATTCCATAGTACTTTCATGACCGTTTGATTATTCCTGACGCTTATGCAAGAAAAAGCAAGTCTTTTATCCAACCATCCATTTATTTTTTTTAAAAATGAAAGTACAAGAGTATTATTATTTGGGTTTCTTATTTTTTTAAAGGGTTTTTATTAAATAATAAAGTTAAAAAAACTAGACAATCAATTTAAATACGTAAAATTATAAAACAGAAGTGTGAAGAATACAAAAGATAGAAAGAAGAAGAAAAGAGGGTTGACATAGAGTCAACATATCACAGTTTTAGTTGATACGCGTAAGTCAGATGCTTGACCAAATTTGAAAAAGAGCCTCGCCTCGACCCGAACCCAAGTTCTCCATTGCAATGGATTTATTTTTCACAACCGTGAAGATCCTTTGAAGGATAAGTGAAGGAGAAAGAATGGTACCGTCATGGAAACGTCTGTTCCTCTTTTTCCAAATTTCATAAATGGCGGCTTGCCAACCTTGTAGAAGGGCTAAAGATCGATCAGAAGAAGTGCAAACCCTCTTTAACCAAGTAAGTATATATTACCAAGAGAAAGGAGGGTTTGGCAAATTAAGCTTATGAGTAATAGCCCTCCAAATTTCCTGTGTGTATTGACAAATAAAAAAGAGATGGTCACGAGATTCAATGTCCTGGCCACACAATAAACATGTTGTCTCCACTAGGGGTGAAATTATTATCCGGGATCCGAAAATCGATCCGTTATCCGTTCGGAATCGCTCCGAAAATTAGAATATCCGGGGAGTCCGAATCCGGATAAGGATAGTAAAATCTAGGATCCGTATAACAAAATTTTAAGGTCCAGAAATCCGGATCCGGATCTGGACGCATTAAATATATTAAAAACATATATTATATATCTATTAAGCTAATTTTATATAAATATATATATATAAAATTGATTTTAGTTTTTTTTTATAATAAATTATATTAATAATGAAAAATATTAATTAATAATTTTTAAAAATATATTTTTATTTATTTATTATTTATTAATTATTTTAATTATTTTTAATATTAATTTCGGATCCGGATATCCGCAGATATCCATTTTTTTGG